CTCCTACCTGCTGGATTAGGTCCTGACTACCAAAGAATTCCTACTACCCCAAACATGCCTCTTTCCCAGGCAGCCCCAGAGGGCAAGGCTTTGAAAGACCAGCGGACTCACCCTTTCCGTTGCCAGTGGAATCCAGACACATAAAAACCAGACACATTGCAGGAGTAAGGGGAAAGTCTCTTCTGGAGAACTATGACAGGAATGTTCCTGAACTGCCAGGCCGCACCAGAAACCTCGACAGAGAGGAGACCTTTCAGGTTTCTGTGCAGACGGTTCTACGTTCTCATCTCCAGGCGAACTGCGCGGCTTCACCTCTTGGCCCCGTACGTCACATGAGTTCGCCAGGCCATGGCTGGGGTCCGATTCCAAGGGGAGACGAGAAGCTGACCACATCTCCCTCTCTGCGTGGCTCTGCGTGGGCATGTGAGGGTCTGTCTCCGAGACACACGTGGACATTGTTGCCAGCTCCCTTGTCTGTTTTTCTGTCTAGGGACGTCAGCAAGGGTGGGTCCATGAAGTCAGCAACTGGACTCACCATCACCTGGCTGGGGGTGGTGGGGGTGGGGGTGGGGGTGGGAGAAGGGCACAGAGAGTCAACAGTCATGAGTCCAAGGAGCAAGAAATGTCCCCAAGTGGACTGTGCTGATGCAGGCACAGTCCTTCTTAGTGCGACTGGACTACTGAATTGTAAGTTCATTACATCTCAATAAAACTATTTTAAAAAGCCACAAGTGGATTCGAGTGTATTTGTGCTAGCTCTTTAGCCTCCTGGGAAACACATGCTTGCAAATATTAAGGGGATCCTTGAGATGGAGACGGGGACCCCACTGGTGAGCCCACCGAGAGACAACTCAGCAGACAGACCTTTCTTTGAAGAGATTCGGAAACTTGTGTGATGCTTTGGCTCCAGAAAGAAGCCTGGCTTCCCTGGAAGGAAACACTAAATGTCTCCAGATGCTGACTACACACACACACACACACACACACACACACACACTGAGCTCGTGCCACAAAGTCAACATGCAAAAGCTCTTTCTTTTCTTTTTTTATTTAGCAAATATGTATTTTTTTATTTAAACAAAGTTGAATAATAATTACCATGTAAAGGCAAAAGCAAACTCCCTGTAGAGCTGCCCCTATGGGTTTCCACGACTGTACAGTAGAAAGCCTCATTTTCATTGAGAATTAACTGATGGACAAACAGCTATGGCTCCATTAGCATTAGGTGTTATTTCAGTGATTCCTATTTAGCTTTTTGGTTTTGTTTTGTTTTGAATCATTTTATTAGGGGCTCATTCGACTCTTATCACAATCCATGGGCTCTTTCTTTTCTATCTTCCTGTTTCTGCAAGTCACCTGTTACAGTAAGAACTTGGAGGATGGGCGTTGGCACACCTGGCAGGTTGTCTGAGGGGCGACTGATGATTCTGTAGAAGCCACCTCCCCAAGCCTATTGGCTTCCTTGGTTGAATCCAAACACGAGAAGTCCTCTTTCACAGCTCTGGCGGCCACAAATCTTCAATCATGGGGCTGGCAGGGGCACACTCCCCCTAAGGCTCCAGAGGACCCCAAATCCTTGTCTGTGAGACAGGATGTAGACCGTTCTTTGGTGGGGAACACCATCCAATCCACTCCACCAAGTTGACACTGCATTTCCAGGTTTTTATAAAACGTCAACTGCATGAACATGGAGCCAATTCCTTCCTGCCCAGCAACAGTGCAGGGCAGGGCCGGGCTGCCCATCTGCTTCCTCAGCTGGACTCTTTCTGGAAGCAGACTGCCAGGTCTTCTCTCCCTCGGAGCTGGCACTTTCGTAGCTGAGAACTTGACCACTCACCAGGATGGTGCCGTTGCTCGAAGAGAGACCAATATTTATTTCTATCCTTTTATTCAAATAAAAATCTAAGTGAGTGAGTTAGTTAATTGTGCCAGCCTGGCCGATAATCACATGTGGTGCTGGTTGAAAGGCAGAGGGATAAATGGGTGGTGAAGCCTCGCCTTTCGAGTTCTCGGGTCTCTTGTTTTGTGATGGTTGCATCGGGTGCAGCTGCCTTAGCAGTTCCCTGCTTCAGCTTGCAAGATGGATTTCCTACAAGACATCCCCAAAGAGAAGCCGCATGGATCTATCCCGATGCAGCCCTGGGTGCTGGAGCAGCCATGTGGAGACCCCTGCTAGTGCTGAGATGCTTGTTCGTTCACTGACTCAGCTTTCCTCCTGCAGTCGGCATTATTGCCTCTGTTTTGTGAGGTGAAGGACTTTGTGGACTGGTGTTGGGTTAATGGGTTAATGTTGGACTTGTGGGCTTGGGCAGCATTGGGTTGGGATGTTTTCGTGATGCACATTTTCTTTGCATAAAACTCTCTCTTATACGTGAGTTGCTGTGGATTTGTTTCTCCAAAGTACCTAGACTAATACAGTGAGGGAAAACTTTGTTTTTTGTTTTTGCTTCACGCACCGTTTGAAAGACAGCTGAGCTATGTCCCCAAGGAGGGGCGTCCCCAAGCAGACTACACATCTCGACATCAGGAGCGTATTTTCCCAATTACACTGTTTACGTTTGGTGACGCACACACCACTGGAAACATATAACTTCCACATCTGCTGAGATACAGTGACTGTGTGGGGCTCGTTGTTGTTTTCAGAAGCACCATGGCTTTTACGAAGACAATGGAAGAAAGCATGGGGGATAAATATCCATTTCATGTGTGAAAACAAAAGAAACCTCATTTAGTAGCTGACAATGAGTCAATTGCAGCTAACAACAGAATGGCAGAACAGTAACACCTGGGCTGCTCCCCAGCAAGGTCAATGGTTCAAACCCAACAGCTGCTCCTCAGGGCTGGCTGCTCTCATAGAGACTAGCAGTCTCAGAAACCCTAGAGAGGGTAACTATGCCTCAGATCCGTTTGTTGGCTATGATTTTTTACTGTTATTATGAGGATTCAGTGGGTGTTCATAAAGCACCTACGACAGTGTTTGACAGGTGGTAGGGGCTACCATGTAAGTGTTTATTTAGAATGTTAAGGCCCTCGTTAGAAACAGGATGAAACATCGAGGAGCCGTGTCCACTAAAACATTCCCAGTGTGCGCGTCCACTGTTTCTCCTTGTGAGTAACCAGTGCTGAAAATCGGTTTAGGCCATCGACTGGTGCAGAAAGTCATCAGAAGCTTAAGACACTGGATTCAAGGAGGCCCAAAGACCTGCAGGGAATGTCACAGCAGCCAGGCAACAGCCACCGTGGGTGCACCAAGGTCACATAGCAAATGCTCCGCCTCCAGCATCATGTCTGCGTCACCTTCACGAGAAGGGGCCGGCCACCGATGTAAAGGAACGCCCACTGACCTCCAAGCTTCCCCGTATGCACCCCGCCCCCAGCCTTAGTCCACCTGCCTCCCATCACCCAGAGTGGCCAAACTGGTATCCCTGATTGCAAAGGAGGCTGGCATGGTTTGCTTTTTTAAATTAAAAAAAATGTAACAATTTTATTGGCATCTCATTCACATATCTTACAATGAAATCGTTCAAGCATATTAAGAAGAATTGTGTTATTAACAGAATCAGGGTTGTGGATTGCCACAGTCAAGTGAGACTCATAGAGAGGCACTTATGAAGGCATCAAAGGGCAGCTTCCTGATGCTGTCCCAACAGTATGGCACCCCACTAGGCCCCTGAGGTCTGGCTCAGCACAGCAGAGATGCACTTGCACACAGTGAGCTTCATGCCCATCACAGCTACAGGTTCTCCACAAACATGGGCCTCTTCCTGTGAGTCTTCCCCCAGTAGTACCCATGAGAAGTGTTGCTTTCAGAGGGATGTGTACATGCTCTTCTACATCAATCATCGTAATCAGTTCCCCGTTTCTCCCCCCTGCTGTCATGGTATCACTACTCCCATTACTGTTCCTGAGGGGTCTATCTGTCCTGGATTCTGTGTGTTGAGAGCTCTTATCTGTACCAGTGTACATGCTCCGGTCCAGCTGGGTCATGATAGTGGGGGGAGGAAGCATTAAAGAACTAGCAGAATGTTGTGTTCCATCGGTGCTATGCAGCACCCTGGCTGACTCATCCCTTCCTTGACCCTTCTGTGAGGGAATGTCCAACTGTCTACAGATGCGCTTTGGGTCTCCTTTCCGACTCCCGTCATTTGCATCAATATATTTGTTTGGTTTGGGTCTTCTGATGCCTGATATCTGATCCCGTCTATACCTCATGATCACACAATCTGGTGTGCTTCTTCCATATGGGCTTGTTGCTTTTCTGCTGGATGGCCAGTTGTTTAAACTCAAGCCTTTAAGACCTCAGGCACTGTATCTTTTAAATAGCCAGGCACATCAGTTTTCTTCACTACATTTGCTTATGCCCCATTTTGGCTTCAGCGATTGTGTCAGGAAGGTGTTATTAGAACAAAGTGTTCTTGC